CCCCAAAACCCCAAAACCCCGCAAGATCAATTTCCGTTCTAAATTGAGATTTTAAGAATATAAAAGTTTCACCAAAAAAATTGAAGTTTTGAGAAATCAAGTCTTTAATTTACGCACTATTATATCTTTAATAAGCAGAATGCCTCCAAAGAGAGCAAACTCGAAACCGTAAAATAAGTAGTAGGCTAAAGAAGAGAATAAACTAAGTTAAATCATAAAATCTTAGAATACGACATAAAACAACAAAAATCAAAATCTTGCTTTAACTCAGTAAAATACTAAAAATTAGGAAAATACTGATCAAACAAAAATAGAATCTAATAAAAGATCTAAATCTCAACCTTTGTGAGAATCTAAATGAAGTAAAAAATAAAAAGAAATCACTGAATAGAAAGAAAAAGTAGAATAAAAGGAGAGTTGTAAATTGCCTGCAGCTAGAAAAAGAGCTTTAAAAGCAGATGAAAAACTTGAATAAAAGCTTCAAAAAAATTTGGTAAGCAACTAGCCATGTAATAATGAAAAAAAAGGAGATCAACCTGGAGGCAGTACTTTAGTATCTGATGATTCAAATGATAAATTACTGACTGGGACTAATTTAACTGAAAATTAATTAATCAAAAAGCAACCACAACCAAAAACTATAGCAAAAAAGAAGTAGACTGAAACCAAAAAAAGAGGATGATAAACTAAAGTCCAAGATGAAAGTCATTATTCTAATGCCTCTAATCCTGAAGTTGACAATGAAATCATTTTAGACAAATCTTAAACTAAAGGAGGGAAAAAGTAAATTCAAGAAAATTTATTAAAGCCTAGGTCTTAAAGCTAGAAACCAGCAATTCGAAGAGCAAGAGGGAAAAGAGGGAGGCCTGTTGGTACTTACTAGGATTAATTTGTGTAAACTGATAGAGATTCAGAGTTTGATGATTTCTAGATATTATAAGAGCTAAGACCTGATGAAATTGATTACTTGAAGAAAAGATCTCTTAGTTGATCTTAACCAGCAATAAATTAAACGAAAAAGAGAGGGAGATAAAATCAATAATAGATACTATAATTTTCAGAATGCTTGCTTCCATAAAATCTATAATAATATAATGAATAGCTTAACCAGTCTCAAAATCAATAATCATAGAAACCTAAGCAGGTAAAATAGTCAAAAAAGCAACCTTAATAAGATGAGGACTAAAAACAAAAGGAAAGTTAAAATCTAGAAGAAAAAAAGCAGCAAAGATCTAGAAGTCGAGGAAGGAAATCTTAAGAAAAAAATAAGGAAAATATTCTTAATCTAGATGAAGAATGGAAAGTATCGGAGAAAAAAAAGAGGTAATACCAAAGATAAGTTAAGCCTAAATAACCCCCAAAACCAAGAGGTAGAAAAAAAATGACTGAGAGGGAAAGAGAAGTGGAAGGAGCTTACAATCCAAGGAGTAGAAATAAGAGCAAAAGAAGATAAAATCAGATCCAAGATCAACCTTAGAATGCAAATGCAAAGTAAGCAAACGAATAAAAGTCTAAATCTCCTAAGCAAAGATAAAGTCGTACAAGAGGAATTGATAAGAAAAGTAATTTATTCATGATAAATTTAAGCTATAGAGGTTCAAATTTTTGAAGAGGAAAAATAAACTCAATAAGTGCCTGAAATACATCGAATTTAAGTTTCTGACCAGATAGGAGTAGTTGAGCCATCACATTCTGAGAACATTCGAAGAGATAAAGGTAACTTATAATTTCTAAACTGATTTAATTTCTAATTAGACTAATCCCAATAAATGATGATTAAAAACCGTAATAACTTTCAGTATGGTAGTTCTTAATAAGAGAATGTCTCAAGAAAAAGAGTATAAAATGGAAGGATATCTTTAACTTAAAATGATTAAGTCAAACGTAAAAGAGCATTTTCAAAACCTGAAAGCCAAATATCTTCGTACTCTCACTCTGATATATATCTCTATAAGACTAAGGATTAAAGAAAAATTGGATTTGAAAGGTTTTTGAGCGTTGATGAAAGTCTGCTTCCATGGTATGGTGAGTTTAAATAACTCAAGCATGTGGTAATTTTGCTAAAAATTTTTATCTTATTAGGGCAGAGATGATGATGTAGACACCGATGTAAATTTAGTTTAAGATACATAGAAAAATCTTAGATCTGAACTTATTGATAAAATAAAGGCTTATAGATAGGAACGATAAGCCACTGGAAAGGCTGAAAAATTAGTTCGAAATCTAAGATAAAATGCTTTTGATCGTAAATTTATTTGTACTTGCTAACTTGCCTTTATATAGCTGTGATATAAACTTAAAAACACATCATGGAAATTGACATTGGAAATATAGAAAAAGTAGAAGGGGAATATGACCCTGAAGATGATGAAAATGAAGAAAAAAGCGAGGAATTAATGTAAGAAGATTCCAATTGAGCTTTGGCATATCTTAATGAAAAGAATAAGTTCTAACATCAAAGCGAGAGCTAATTAATTATTCTAAAGTATATTCCAAATAAATACAAATATATTGATTATTGGGGTTTTGGGGTTTTGGGGTTTTGGGG